GAGGCAGCTGATCGATGTTTCTCTCTCATCGATGTTTCTAACTCTCTATCCCTCTCCCTTCCTCTCTGTAAAAAATCAATAAAATTATTTAAAAAACCAAAACAAACAAACAAAAATAACTGCTTATATGGGGGAAATTAGAAAGCACCCATGCATGCCCAGTTAAAGGCCCAGAAAAGACCAGAGAAGACCTTAGGTTTTCATCTCCAGACCACTGTCAGCACAGACAGCCTACAACAACCAAAACAAAAACACACCCCAAACCTAGCAAACCCTGGGGAAGGGGACAATTTGATTTCCAGAGTTACTACATTATTAGATTCAAATGTCCAGTGTTCAACAACAAAATAAGGCACACAAAAACAGTAACATGGCACATTCAGAGGAAAAAAAATCAAATCAACAGAAAATGTACCTGAAGACACATGGCAGATGCACTAGACAAAGACCTGGACAGCTGTTTTAAAGATATGCAAAGAACTAAAGGAAGATGTGGAGGAAGTAAAAAAACAACAATGTATGAACAAAATGGATATATCAATATATAGAGATCTAAGAGAAACCAAAACGTTCTGAAGCTGAAAAGAAACGAAAAAATTCACTAAAAGGATTCAAAGGCAAACTTGAGCAGGCAGAAGAATCAGTGCACCTGAAGATGGGGCAGTGGAAAATGAGCTTAAGGAACAGAATAAAAAGGTGAAAATAGCCTACGGGACCATGGGACACCATCAAACAAACCTATCATGGGAGTCCCAGAGGAAGGGAGAAAGGGGTAGATAGACTACTTGAAGAAATAATGGCTGAAAACTTTTCAAATACCATGAAAAATATGGATATAAAATATCCAAGAAATTCAATAAACTCCAAGTAAAAAAATTCAGAGACCCAGAGAGACACATAACCAAACTTTCAAAAGCCAAGGATAATCCTGAAAGCAGAAAGAAAAGTGAATTGTCACATACAAGGGATCCACAATAAGATAACAGATTTCTTACTGGAAACTTTGGAGGCCAGAGACAATGGGCCAATATAGTCAAAGAAAAAAAAAAAACTGAACCAAGAATCATATGTCCAGCAAAACTGCCCTTCAAAAGTTAGGGAGAAATTAAAACATTACCAGAAAACAAAAGCTGAGGGAATTTGTGGCCATTAGACCTGCTCTGAATGAAATGCTCAAGGGAGTCCCGCAAGGTGCAACGAAAGGACACTAGACAGTAGCATGAAGCTATATAAAGAAGTGAAGACTTCAATAAAGGTAAACACATCGGCAATTATAAGAGGTGGTATTATTAACTGGTTTGTAACTACTTTCTGGGTACATGATTTAGGAGCTATATGTTTAAGAAAAAAACATTATTAGTGTAAATAGTA